CTTTAAAAATCAGAAATAGGGACTTAACAAATGTCTGACTTCCTGGGTCCTCCTCCTTCTGCCTCATCCCTGGTCCCTTAATTGGGTTCTTTTTCACATATAGAAAGCATGGGGGGTAGGGGGGTGTTGTCTGAGAATGTGTCTTTCTGAACACTAGGAATAAAGGAGATGTCAGAGCTGAAACTATCAGAGGGGGAAGACATAAAAGAAAAGGTGCAGCTTGTGCATCAAGAACACAAGTTGATGAAGGATGGCCGGCAGCCACATGCCGTCTCGCCAGTCTGTGCAGGGACAGTAAGCAGACTCAGCCTGTCACCATTGCACAGGGCACGTGCTCCCCAGGGAAGGAGAGCAAGGGACAGGCATGGCCGAACTTGCACAGTGTGCATTATGGGGGACGCGTCCAGCGAGCCTGGCAAAAAAGCTCAGCCAGTTGGCTGCTCTTGTATCGCAGACCTACCATCTCCCTGAAGAGATGAGATCGTTCACCCAGTGAGCTGACAGATTCATGCTTAACCTACTGAAAGCAAAGCTGAGTTTAAATACATCTTTTTAAAAATAGCGTTTTTCCTGGCTCTAAAATGAATGCACCCCAAGTGTAGAAATACTGGAAAAGTCAGAAAAGCGTAAAGAAGGAAATAAAAGCCGCTTGGAATCTTGCCCCCCCCGAGACTAGAGGGGACAACGTAAAGAAGTAATTTAGATCACGAGGTGTAGCTTACGTCCCCACCTTCTGGGGATTAACCACCACTATGGACGTGTGTCCTGTATTCTTCTAGAAATGCACGCAGGAAGAAATAGCTTTCATAAACGGGACCAAATGTGTGGTTTTCAAGCATTCCCTCCTTATCATCAGTGTGTTAAGAATGTCCAGAACTATACCTCCATAGCATCATTATTTTAAGAGCTCCACAGTAAGGAATTTCTCCAATCATCAGACACCTATTTTGTAAAATATATCTGTGTATTTGTTTAATTGGGGAGAAAGTCTAGAAGAATATACACTTTTAATGAGAAGAGGAACTTATTTTCTGCTTTGTACTTTTCTGAATTTTTTTCAAATATTCACACTCCTCAAAATAACCAGAGCTAATATTGTGCTGTATTGTTTCTTTTTTTTTTTTTTAAGATTTTATTTATTTGAGAGAGAGAGAAAGCACAAGCCAGGGGAGAGGGAGAAGCAGGCTCCCCGCTGAGCAGGGCGCTGGACATGGGGCTCGATTCCAGGACCCTGGGATTGTGAGATCATGACCTGAGCTGAAGGCAGATGCTTAACTGACTGAGCTACCCAGGTGCCCCTTGTGCTGTATTTCTTAACAGTTGTAAAAAGAATATTTTAAAACGTCGTTAGAATCATGGTGTGTGTAGGGTTTTGCCTCCTGATTAAATCACCCGATGGAGTCCAGTGGACTTTTTGGCTTTATCACAGATTGCTACATGATAGTTGTTCATGGGAGGATGCTATGATTTTTGTGTATTGTTTCCGATTTTTCACATCGTAAGGCTGTGATGAACAGTTGTGTCCCTGAATTATTTTGTTTCCCCGTCTGAATACTCCTCAGGATGCACTCCTGGAAGGATGGTCACTGGGTCAGAAGGTGTAAAATTTTTAAGGCTCTGGTTGCATATGAACAGACTGGTTTTAAGAATTTCTACTCCTTAATACTATCAAATAAGCTTTTGTTCACAATAAAATGGGTGCTGTAGATAACTCTTATTGTCTTATTTAATTTTAAAGCAGATCTTTTAGTTCTTTTCTTGAAATATTTTTGAAGAATTAATTACTGAACGAACAGTAGTTTAGATATGTTATATCTAAACATAAAAACCATGCTTATTTTTGGCCAGAATTTTTCAGAATAATTTTTAAGGGTAACCAATCATCTTTAAGAAATTTTAAAACAAAGAAAAAAATCATCCTAATAAAGCCTAATAAATAATAAATAAAGCCTAAGTAAATCTCCCTCCCTCCCTTTTCTATGAATTTTACATTGTTGGAATAAAAGTATATGTAGTTTTTTTATGGCTTTTTTTATTTAGCAGAGTGTTGAAAGCATTTCTTCCCACATACTCTTCATAACTATCATTTTTTAAAGAAGATTTTATTTATTTATTTGACAGAGAGACACAGTGAGAGAGGGAGCACAAGCAGGGGGAGGGGGAGAGGGAGAAGCAGGCTTCCCGCGGAGCAGGGAGCCTGATGAGGGACTGGATCCCAGGACCCCGGGATCGTGACCTGAGCCCAAGGCAGACGCTTAACGACTAAACCACCCAGGCGCCCTGATAACTATCATTTTTAATGACCGTGAATTATTCCATTGACTTCACCTACCACGGTGTACTCAACATTTACCTGTTGGACACTTAGGTGATTCCCACATTTTTACTTTTATAGCACTGTGGTGAATGTGGACCATTTCCTTAGGTTTGAATCCCCCCAATGGATCGACTGGGTCTGAATTTAAATCGTTCTTTCACTTGTTCATTCAGAATTTTCACACAGGTTCCTACTGGCCTGTCTCCTAGCTTAGTCTTAATTCTTAAAGCTTTACTCCAACCACCTGGTGAAATTCAGGACGTTCCCGTTGGCAGGGCACCCACGAGGTGCTGTGATGTCCTCGGGAACCAAAATGGTCACATTGGCAAAGTGACCCTTTGGGGTCTGGATGTTTCAGACGCAGGAGCAGAGTAGAAAGACGGAGCACTTTCCCCACACGCCCCGTTCGTAAACTCGAGGGAGCGCGCTGAGCTGCCGGGCACAGAAACCTCTCATTCCACAGCCTTCGCAAATGAGGAAAGAAAATCCACAGCAGCAGGGACCCGATCATTAGGTTACCCCCTCCTATTTCTTCTTCTTCTTTTTTTTTTTTTCCTGTTTCCTTTTGTGAGAACATCATCAGCCCGGGATGGAGAAGCATTTATGGTGTCTCCTTTGCTAAAGCAAACTCCGGCGACTTCATTTTCAGAAATGCAAAATTCGTGAAGTTCATAAATGCCTCTTTGTTGACCATGAGCCATGTGGTTTGGCCCCCAGAGTTATCTCAGATGGCACAAATAAATCTGACGGCCTCTAGTTGTCTCAAACTGAGCATTACCTCCCTCCCCCGTTGTCCCCTCCTGCAGAAATTTCCTCTTGGCCTTCAGCTGCACAAACTCCGTCTTCTCATCAATATGCCCTGTTAACTGCTGCCAAACCTCCAGCAGTTGAGTGCATATGTTCCCTTAATCATTTCTCTTTGTTCTAGAAGTCTGTGTTGGTTTCTAAACCTCCCCCATCCCCTCGCCTAATTCCACCATCACCATCACTGGCTTATAGACACGACTGTCTACTGTCTACATGTTTATTTGAAGAACATCCTAGATGGCCTGCCATTGAGAAGGGCTTTTGCAGTCTGCTCACAGTGTGCCAAATCATCCCCCCCCCACTCCCCTAGAAAAGTGTGTTAACTGCCACCCGAAGCCTTCGGAGCCCAGGTGAGGGGCTGCCGGAACTTTCTGGAAAGCACGAGGCTCCAAGAAGACAGTGTTAATGTCTTGGCACAGACAAAGATTCCTTCTCTGTTTTCCACTGGTCCAACCCAAGAAAAGGACGCTTTATTCTTGGAGCCCACCAGTGTATAGGAACCGTCGGTCTCAATGGGTTATTCATGGTGTCCAAGAGAAATACTTCTGGAGCTGTGCTTCTTGTACGATGAAAAGTGGACAAGGCAGCCTGCTCGCTGGGAATGCCCTGTGCCTGTGGGACCCGCCGGCCCCCTCCCGACGTGGCCAGGCTCCTCTTTGCAAGCGAAGGGGTCTTCTGGGCTCCTCGTGACCGCAGTCTGCACACCGGTGCCCAACTCTGTTGGCCAGTGTGCGCGGGGAGGCACTGTGTTGTTGCTCTCTGCTTTTAAGTGTATTTCTCCTCTTACCCTGTGTAGACCTCTCACTCCCTGCCCCGAGCCCTGAGAGCAGCTGAAGAACCACCAGAGCGGGGGTCCAGGGCCCTTTCTCCTTGGCTCGGGCGCTGCTATGGAACCCTGGAAACTCTTACTGGAAAGGTCCTACAAATACCATCTCTCCATCCTCCCTCCCCTGCCTCTTCCCTCCCCCAAAAGTATTTCAGAGAGTCCCTGGCAGCTGCACGGACAGTGGACCAACTCGATTTTGGCTCTGTTTAATAAATCCCACCATGAACCGTGCCCGCTCAGTACCTGGTCAGCAACTTCTGGGAATGCAGAGGAAAGCCTTCCTAACACGGAGTTAAAATATGTAGAAAGTAGCTGGGAGGAAATTCTCGGTGTGAGGGATTGTTTTCCACCCCCTTTCCTATTCTGAAGAAAAAAAAAAAAGGTTAATGTTGACCCATTTGGTGGAGATATAAGGCATTTTTCTGCTTATCCCCAAAGGGAAGTTTGCGTTCTTTTAAATGAAACCATTTTAAAAGCAGAACTCAAGCCTAAAATGATCCATGGTTCTCCGGACTTCTCAGAAGGTGTAGATTTATTTACTATAGTTAAAACATAATTAGTTCTCAGGGGATAGTGTATCTTTTAAACGGCTTTATTGCCACCATATTGGCTTTCTGAATAATCAGAAACTTCTGTTATGATTATGGTCTAGTGTTTGGACAGAAACGCACCGTAAGTAGAAACAAATGTCAGGAACTGCTAGTTGTCACTCGGAGTAAGGGACACCACATCAGAGGGGAAGAAAGAACTTTCCGATAGGATATTCCAAAGAAATGGAATCAAACAACATCTTAAATGAACTAACAGCTCAGGCGGGCACCCCAACCCCAATCTTTTTTGATTCAATGGTGTTTTCTTTGTCTCTTCTCCTTCGTTATCACTACAGAGGCTGGGAATGGGGTCAGTATCCCTCGAAACCCGGGAAAGGGCCCTTTTTCTTCCCCACACAGCCCCGCAGATGAGTGTGCATAGGGTCCTCCTCTCGTCTGAGCCGTAGGCTCTGCTGTCATGTCCCTGTTCTGGCTGACCAGTCTTTCCCACCGTTTGCAGATTGATGTTTGAGATCCCGCAGGAAATGGGGTTAATAGCCATCGCAGTCCGCCAAACGCAGGGCAAAGGTCAGTCATCTTTTGTTATCATTTCTGTTGTTCTGCTCTTTAAAATCTGTGGCTCCTTGTGGCCAGGTTGCCCATTGATTGTGTGTGCTGATCACGGAGAAGACTCCCATTAGGAGTGCTTGTTTTCACACCCCCTAAAATGGAGGAAGAGGGGGGGAAATTGATCAGAAGACTGAGTTTTGGTAGAATTAAAGCTTTCTCTCCAGTGGAGATGGTTATTAATCACTGGACATTTGCTGGGGATGGTTTTAACATACCATCACCTACATCTTGTAAATTCTTCCTGACACATTCTGGGCATTGCAGTGTGTGAATCGTTACTGTGTTATAGAGACATTTATTTGCCTGAAGGTTCTCCGGGAGGTGCCTTCTGGGTTCCTGTTGAGTGTCCCATGGAGAGCCCTTTCGTCTGCCAGCCCCCACCCCAGCCGCACTGGAAATTCCATGACCAGTGGTCAGTGCCCCTTCACAAAGTGACCACAGAGAAGCCAAGGACTGATCCGAGCTTCTGCCACCTGCTGACCCCGAGACCCTCAGAAATGAGAGCCCGCATCCTCCCAGAATCCACTTGGGGTCCAACCGCAAGCAGACTCTGTGCTTAGTGGTCCTGCCGGAGGCACTTGGCCCCCGCTCCCGCCGGTGCCAGGCCAACCCAAACGTGCTTTTAACTCTCAGAGGCTCTTATGCCTTTCTCAGAAGGAGCAACGAAATAAGAAATCCACTGTTTTCCACTTCTTTCCTTTGAACACGTCTTTTGAACATAACTCAAAGAGAAAATTCATTTTACCCAAAGCTGGGGGTGGGGGGCTCAATACGGTGGTTAAAAAAAAAAAAAGAACATAGAAGAACTTGGATTATACCTCTCATTTTTGGATTATACCTCTCATTTTGAGCATTTTATTTTCTTGACTTCTATCTTAGGAAAAATAATCTCGAGAGTTAATATCAGGGATTACTTTTTAAAGTCTGCTTCTTTCCCCCCGTGTAACAGTGAGATATAATTCACAGACCATACAGTTCCCCAATTAAAGTATACAATTCTGGGGTTTTTAATATATTCACAGGGTTGTGGGACCATCACCACAATACGGGTCACTTCTAAACTGTGGTGTCCAGGACCTCTCCTGGACCAGGACAGACTCAGTCCGGTTTCCCCACTGTCTCTGTTTTTGCCAGCATTACCAGATGGTGACAATTAAGCTGACAGTCATGTTCAGACCCTGTAGGACTTTGAATCATCAAAGCGTAAATGATGTGCTCACTGAGGCAGAACATTCAGCTACTTATCAGACACTTGTTCAGGAACACAGCGCCAGACTTTAAAACGCTTCTCTGTTCTTGAGTTCACCCCAGAACCTCCAAGCATCTTCATCAGTGCAGGTTGATTACACGTGGGGCTCTGAGTCCTGGGCCCATTTTCGGGTGCTGCATGCATCTGACTGTTCACGTGGCAGGGTGGCCACTCTCCTGATGGGGGGCCCTCTGTGTTCCAGGGCGGGGAGCAAACGCTTGGCTGAGCCCCATGGGATGCGCTCTGTCCACCCTGCTCATCTCCATCCCACTGAGATCCCAGCTGGGACAGAGAATCCCATTCGTCCAGCATTTGATGTCCCTGGCCGTGGTGGAGGCGGTGAGGTCCATCGCTGAGTACCAGGTAGGTGCGATTTGCCCACCCTGGGTGCAGATCTCAGTTGAGGTTGGTGTGTGGATGCATCTGAATGACCGCTGCGTGTAGAGTTTCAGGCTGCTCTTCGCAAAGCAGGCAGCAGAGTGCTCCTGGAGTTTTAAAAGCACTGTCAGCTCATAGCTTGGCTCTGGGGTCGCCGGGATGGGTTTATTTCCCAGAATTCCCTTACTGTGCTGTTGTCAGATTGCTCAAGCCTCTCCTCCCCCCACCCCCTTAATTGAAGCACACTGGACTGACATACCACACTGTTGTGTTTTCTGGCAAAAAGGCTTATTGTGTGGACCTAAACAACCTTCTCATTCCCTATCTTCATTTAGCACGGTCCATGCGTAGCAGAACGACCCTTGTCTGTGGCTGCCCAGGTTCAAAGTGCAGGTTCATTTGGGGTGTCTGCTCCCCGCTGTAGGGACAGGGGTGCTTCATCATTACCATCGGATGCTGCTGTGTCAGTTAGTAAAGAGACAAGAGGGTGATTAATGCAGTTTTCCTGGACAAATTTCATGGGTCCTCCCGGGCCTCCCTCCTACCTACATTTCTTCTCTCAGGCCAAACACAATTATAGTATTAATTCCTGAAGTGAGAGGCTAAGATCATGACTTTCAAAGGGGCCTGTCCTCGTGTTTAACAGGGAAGCAGCCCTCCCCTCCAGTGTGGTCATGTCCTCATGGTCACCGTGTATAAGACTGGGGTATGTGTTTCCCAAGTCACATCAAGTCCCTGGCACGCACACTGAAAGGTGACATTTATGACCAGCGTTCAGCATCCTTGCCCTCTGTATCCCAAGGGCCTGGGCTCATCCGACTGTCACACACCTTCACAGGTCAGCCTGCAGCCCCTGAACGAGACATTTTGCCTCACAGAGGGCAGGTGAGAAGATAAAGTTCTGTTGTGGGGGGAAATATTTTTAGCCCTAGCGGCAGGTTCGTTAGTCTTAGGAAAATAATTTAAAATTTATGTCAGGTTGCCTGGGTGGCTCAGCCAGTTAAGTGTCTGCCTTTTAAAGAAAATTAAAATTTACATCAAATGCCCTCCTTAATGCCCATCACCCCATACCCCACCCTGCCAACCCCCCCTCCAGCAACCCTCAAGCACTGGATGTTATATGCAACTGATGAATCACTAAATTCTACTCCTGAAACTAAGAATATACTATATGTTAACTAAATTGAATTTAAATTTTTTAAAAAAAGAACAATGCTAAGAAAAACATGCAAAAAATAGTATTAATTTCATGCAAACTATTATAAAACATTATCTTCTAAAAAAAGGAAGAACAATATTAAGAAAAACATGCAAAAATAGTATTAATCATTCCATGCAAACTATTATAAAGCATTATTATCTTCTTTAAAAAAAATAAAATGATGGGATGGGGTGGGATGGGGTAACTGGGTGATAGACATTAAGGAGGGCATATAATGTGATGAGCACAGGGTGTTATATAAGACTGATGAATCACTGAACTCTGCCTCTGAAACTAATAAGACACTATGTTAATTAATTGAATTTAAATTTAAAAAAGGAAATTAAAAAACGGTAGGAAACAAGTAAGAAATAAAAAATAAAATAAATAAAATTTAAAATTTAAATTACTCTGTTTAGCTTTTTCTTGGCTTTGTGACCTTGCAGCCTCGCTTGTTAACTGAGCAAGCATTCTCTGAGTGCCTGCTAGCCAGGAGGCCGTGCCAGGCACTGCGGGCAGCAGGATGTGAGGTGGGAAGCTTGCCCTGGAGGGGGGGGGGGGGGGGGGGGGGCTGCACCTGATGGGCGTGTGTCCCTCCTTATCCTTAAGGAGCTCCCACCTGAGTTCCTGTCCTGTGTCTGCAGTCCTGCAGCTCAGTCACACCTGTGTGATGTGACTTTGGCTAGGGGTTGGGCTTATTCTTGTTTTATTTTTAGTTTTACTGAGATAGAATTGACAGCCCCCACTGTGTAAGTTTGAGGTGTGCAGCATAGTGACTTGGCATACATATATTATGAACTGATTACCACAGTAAGTTAACCTCCTTCACCTCCTAGGGTCACCAAAAAACATTTTTCCCCCTGTGATGAGAACTTTTAAGATTTATTTTCTTAGGGGCGCCTGGGTGGCTCAGTTGGTTGGGTGACTGCCTTCAGCTCAGGTCATGATCCTGGAGTCCCGGGATCGAGTCCCGCATCGGGCTCCCTGCTCGGCGGGGAGTCTGCTGCTCCCTCTGACCCAAACCCCTCTCATGCGTGCTCTCTCTAACACATAAATAAATAAAATCTTTAAAAAAAAAAAAAAGATACAGAGACAACTCCATAAAAAAATTTAAAAAAAAAAGGTTTACTTTCTTAGTGTTTTTAAAAAAATTTTTTTAATTCAATTTAATGAACATATTGTGTATTATTAGCTTCAGAGGTAGAATTTAGTGATTCATCAGTTGCCTACAACACCCAGTGCTCATTCCATCACGTACCCTCCTTAATGCCCATCTCCCAGTTGCCCCCTTCCCCTTAGTGTTTCTTTTGAACAGAGCCATTTGGCCTACACAGCACAGCTCCAAGATGGTTGGAATAGGCCCCAGTTGCAGAGAGTTTGCCTCTCTTACATCCTTGGCCGGATGTCCCCATCAGCACACAGATCGTGCCCGTCTCCCTGGACCAGAAGCGGTGTCCCGGGAATGCCCGCGATTCCTTCCAGAACCCTCGTTGCACTGCCGGCTGTCCGTCCCTCTGTTCCTTCTGTCTCAGAGGTCCCCGCTGGGCGCCGGGAGCCCTCCACCCCCACACTCCTGCTTCTGCTCTCCTCCCCGCACTTGCAAGTTCTGTTTGCCCTGGGAGGCCCAGCTCCAGTGCCATTCCCAGAAACTTCTAGCTACAAACTCCCTCCTCTAACTAACCTTTTGGCATTTTGAAATTCTGAGCCGCTTTCATGGTCTCTCCCATGGATTGCTCGGAAGCAGGGTTATTTGTCCTCCTGTACCATCTCCTGTAAAGCAACCAGCTCCTTGAATGCACGGTTAGTTTTATGTTGGTCCCAAAGGGCCTAACCTGGTGTTTTATCCTGGGAGGACTGCCAACCGCAGCTGTTTGAATAAATCATTGAGATGGTGAAAAATAAGCATGCAGCCTTTCTCTTCATCTTGAAACAGAGGTCATTGTTTACCTGCACGAGAACCCACGATTTCCTAAGCTCTGCAGCATTAACTAACTAGGTCCGAAAATGTGAAGTAAAACAAGAGCCCAGGGGCAGGGCCAGTGCAGAGGAAAGCGGCCACCCACATGCTGGGGGAGCAGTTTCCAAGCTTGGGCAGGGACTGTGCTGGGCACAAAGGGACGTGGGAAGGCAAGAGAGGACAAAGAAGGGGACCTGAGAGAGTGACCAGAAATGTCTCCTCTGTGTCGCCTGGTGTCCCCTGGGACAAGGTGGCAGAAGGCCTCCTTGCTCCGGCCCCCACTGAGATCCCTGTTCTACAACAGAAAAAACTATGAAGCTCCCTAATCAGGTAGAGGTCATGGCGCACACCCGCATCTTGTCTATGCTTTTGTTCTTTGGTGCTTCTGCGTTTCTTCCCCTCACCATCGAGCACTACACGCTAGGGCAGACGAGCTTCTGAAGAACAGAAACGCATTCTAACTGGCCACCATACAAAGAAGCCTTTGTCCGAGGGAAAGGAAGGGATTTCTTGGAAGCAGCAGGCTACGTAGCATAGTGTTAAGCACCCAGGGGCCTGGTGTCAGAAAGCCCCGGGTTCGAATCCCAGCTCTGCCGCTTCCGAGTGTAACCTCAAGCAAGCCAGGCCATCTCTCTCCGCTTCAGTTTCTTCCTTGTTCAATAGAGGTGAATCTAGTACCCCCATGTGGGTTTGGTGTTAAGTGACACACAGACCAGAGCTGAGATGGGGCTCGGGGCCGGGCGGGCCCTCCGTGACGGAAGAGCTAGCCCTGTGGGATCAGAGGCCACCTGCTACGCTGCAATCTTTTGGTTTATTATGCTGAGTGTCTTTCTTCCAGATTTTCTTCCTCTACCCACACATGGACCACCTGGCTGCCAGCCCCAGGCCCCGGAGGCTGGGCAGTTCCAGCACCCACTGAGTCTCACCCAGTCTCTGTTTCCCCGCTTAAAAATCACAGCAAGAGTTGGGGGTCTGGGGGGACCAGCTCAAGGCAGGGTCCACCCTTGGACCATTCCACTGTGACTGTGACCGAGGGCCCCAGGCCGGGCTGCCCAGGTTTGCTTCTGGATGGAGAGGCAGTGAGCCGCAGAACAAATCAGTTTCTATTTCTGGTTGACTGTTGGCAATTCTTTGAGGCCCTCGGTGATAATCCAGTGAACCGGGTTCCTTCTCTGTATCTCTCTAGGATTCTACTTGAGATATTTCTACCCACCTTTTGTGACAGTGGTTAATTTGGGGCATCTTTCTCTCTCGAGCATGAGCTCCTTAAGGAAAAAGAACCCTGAGCGTATTTCGGTCTCCCTGCCTCCCCCCTCACCCGCACACGGTAGGTACTCAGTGGGGGTGGCCATTGACATGGGAACCCCTTGGAGATCTTGAAGGTTTGGTTCCAGATCACCACAATAAAGTGAGTCAAAGGAGTTTTTGGTTTCCCGGTGCATATAAAAGTCATGTTTACACTACACTGTGGTCTATTAAGTATGCAATAGCATTGTGTCTAAAAAAACAGTGTACCTACCTTGATTAGAAGATACTTTATTGCCCAAAAATGCTAACCATCACTGGAGCCTTCAGCAAGTCATAATCACTGATCACAGATCACCGTAACAAAGATTGGAAAAGTTTGAAATGTGACAATTAACAAAACGTGACACAGAGACCCAAAGGGAGCAAATACCGTTGGACAAATGGCACTGATAGACTTGCTCAACTCAGGGTTGCCACCGACCTTCAATTTGTAAGAAACACAGTGCCCATGAAGCACAATAAAGCAAAGCACAAGAAAACGACCATGCCTGGCCTGGGATAATGAAGAGTGCAGGGGTGTGGAGAGAACCCAGGATTTACACCAGATACGTTCTGTAGGTCTCTCTCCTGGCCCCAAGGTGGTCCTTGACCACTGGATTGTCCCAGAGAAGGGATTAGCCCTCAGAACAAGAAGCGAGGATGAGATCCCATGTTCCATTAGATTCGAGAGTATCCGGCTCATCTTCCTTTTAGCTGGATGACCTCTTCCGGCCCCTTTGTGTCCCGTGATTGCTTGATTAACGTGCAGATTTTCCTTTAGGATATCAACCTACGAGTGAAGTGGCCCAACGATATTTATTACAGTGACCTCATGAAGCTTGGTGGAGTTCTGGTTAACTCAACACTTTTGGGAGAAACATTTTATATACTCATCGGTGAGTTGTGAAAGCCTTTCCTCCACATTTTTAGATGAATAAAAACAAAAATAAAAATGGTTTTTACATGGCTACCTTGAGGGGAGTGGATTATCATATGGGATTACTTTTTCTTTGAGCCTTGAGTCACAGAGCACAATATGTATGCAAAGCAGGCCGGATGGTTGAAAGCCCCTTGCAGAGGTTTAGCGTTCCTGTCTCTGGCCATGGAAACCACCAAATCGATACCACATCAAACAGGTTTTTTATTGCACCTCTCCACACGCCGGCTTCTTGTTGAATCAGAAATGGTGAAAATAAACATTTAATATGCCATTTTGTAATAAGGAAAGAAAGCTAATTGCAAGGATGGGGCTCCTGGTGCTCCTGCATTCTTAATTGGACCTTCCCAGGCCATGAAAAAGTTGTGTGGGTTTTTTTTGTTTTTTGGGTTTTTTTGTTTTTTTGACCTTCAGAAGAAGCTCCAGGCTGGTCAAGGTGGGGTGCAGAATCCCATTTCCCCTCAGCGTGTCCATATCAGGCAAGGAGACGGATTCAGAAACAATTTCAGAAGTTCTCAGGCTCCTGCTCATCCGAGCATCCACTTCTCCCTAAGGCCCAGGAGAACTTAATGTTCAGAAATGAGTAATGAGCAGAAAATGTGTGATGATGTGTCTGTGGGAAGTACCAGCCCCAAAGTGCAAAGCTTAAGTTTCCAGCTCTACCACCAATGGGCAGTATTATTCTGAGCAAACTGCTTCATAGCCTCCAAGCTCTCCTTCTCATTTTTAAATGTGTTCGCTAGGCTAGATGCACATATCCCGAAGTCGGGCCCAGAGATGTCGAGGAGGTCCAGGGATGGCTTCTGTCAGTATGGGGGAAAGGAAACGTGGTCCTGTAGGGAGAATTCATGGCTTTTATTACGTTCTTAAGGCCATAGGAGGTGATGGGGGGAGGGAGGTGTCTTTGGGGAAAGAGTCAGGGTCCCCAACAGAGGTGCTCTCTGGGCTTTGGAAAGACATGGCCTGAGTTGGCAGTAGTCAGTGCTGCTGTTTCCCCAGGACTTGGAATTTTCTGAATATATGGGAGATTGTTCAGCACCATATGCACTTAATTGAATGCCTTACGCTCCATACTGTGTGTGTTGTTGAATGAACAAATGGACAACTGCCGATTCATCCCTGTTGCTATAGTTACTTGTTTTTTTTTCCAGATATAATTTACATTGCTTAGTATTTTAATAGCCAGTATATTTAAAAAAAAAAAATCTGAGGCCTATCAATCCTTCCCTTCACACTGAGAATGGCTCGGAATATTGACCAAAGAATACTGTTCTTGTAAATGTCATCATTCCATCAGAGGCGAGTATTTGGAGAAGTGTTTTCCTCGGAGGCACTGAAAACAAGAGCATCTCACTGCTTAGTTCTTGTAGTATTTCATTTCTTATTGAAGACCTCTTTGAGGTTGATTCAGGACCCTGTTGAAAACTGAGGTTTGGCTTCTCGAAGGCTCTAGCTCTCTGGGAGAGGGTTGGTGGTATTAAGTAACGGCAGAGACAAGCCTGTTCAGACTCCACTGCTGGTACCTCCCGTTCCTGAAGCCCTGGGTCAGGAGCCTATAAAAGAGCCACTGAACATGGGTTGGCCCCTTGCCAGCAGCGTAACCCTAGCACCAAAGACTTCCAAGGATAACGTATTAAAAAGATGTGTTCTAGGGTTATGCCATGACCAAGGTTTGAAATCTCTGAATCCAGAGTTTACTCCTTAAGAACCGAGTGAAATTCTGCATTTTCAGGCATGTGTTTTTGTTATTCAAGTCGGAAAAGAAACAAGAGATTGTACTTTATATTGGGCTCAGTGCAGAGCTAGAGTTCTTGGCGAGACCACATGAAGTATTGTTTCAGAGGCCACTGCAAGGAGCTTTGCCCCATTCAGAGCTTCTGTTTCATTGAATCGAATCTGGCTGGTTTTTTCCCCCCAACCCATCTGCGGCAAGGTTGGGGTGGACAGGGATAATCCTCGAACAAGGATGATAAAGGAACGATGAAAAGGAAGATGGTCCCAAAGACATAAGTCATTCATTTTTTTTTTTAAGATTTATTTATTTATTTGAGAGACAGAACGCTTGGGGCATAGGGGCACAGGGAGAAGGAGAAAGAATGTTAAGCAGACACTGAGGGGCTCAATCTCACAACCCCGAGATCACGACCTGAGCTGAAACCAAGAGTTGGACGCTTAACCGACTGCACCACCCAGGCGCCCCGAAAAGTCTTTCTTTAAGTGGCCAGACATGATAAATTTGAAATGAGGGAAAGGAAGCAGGGAGTCGGGGATAAAGGCTGTAACTCCTTCCAGGTGCTTGGGAGGCCATCAATAGGTTGAGCCGCTCATGCTTTTCAACTGTTTTTGTGCAGGCTGCGGATTTAACGTGAGTAACAGTAACCCTACCATCTGCATCAATGATCTCATCACAGAATACAATAAACAGCACAGGGCAGAGCTGAAGCCCTTAAGAACCGACAGTCTCATTGCCAGAACTGTGACCGTGCTGGAGAAACTGATCGACACATTTCAGGACAAAGGGCCCAATGGCGTTCTTCCCCTTTATTATAAGTACTGGGTACACAGGTCAGTGCTGGCCCGTCTTCATTCTTTTAAAGTGTCTTTATTAAGTGAGTAGTTCAGTATCTTAAAACAAGAAACTAAGCACAGGTCTACGTAATTTTTTTTTTTTTTTTAAGATTTATGTATTTGAGAGAGAGAGAGAGAGTGTGTGCAAGCAGGGGAGGCGCAGAGGGAGAGAGAGTCTCAAGGAGACTCTGCACCGAGCACGGAGCTCAGCGCGGGGCTCGATCCCACGACCCCAGCGTCACAACCTGAGCTGACACCGAGAGTCAGATGCTTAACCTACTGCACCACTCAGGTGCCCCTAGATAATTATTTTTTACCTTTCTGATGGAGAAAACTGGTGTCCACCACGTTGAGCGAGTTACCATCAGCAACCCCAGGATGGACCAGCATCCCGTGCGTGCTGGTGGGATGTTATGGGAAAGGACACAACCTCGCCCGAGAGTTTTCCACGTGTCTGGTTTAAGTGGAGCCTAACGCGAGGAAACAGACACACGTTAAATTGTAGAACATTCTAGATAACAAAGAGTTTTCAAAGCGAGAGCCCAGGGGGCGTGGGAGCACCCTCACCTGGGAACATGTTAGAAATGCACATTCTCAGGTTCCACCCTGAGCCTCCTAAATCAGAAACTCAGGCTGGTTGATCATTCGTGTTTTAACACATGCTCTGGGGGCTCCTTGTGCACCCAGAGCTTGAGAAGCACTCTGGTGAGTACCAGCAGGCCTCTAATGCATCAGAAATGTCCATGTCTTCCAACACAAAAAATAAAAAGAAGTTCGGAGATTTGTTAGAGATTAAAGAGGTATGACAACCAAATGCAAAATGTGATTCATGATTCGATCCTGGATGGGAGGAAATTGCCACAAACGATATTAATGGGGCAATGGGGGAAATTTAAACATGAACTCTATACTAGATGTTATTATATGGAGATTAGATTTCTTGAGGGTGATAATGGTATTCTAGTTTTGTGGGAGATTGTTCTTAGGAGGGACATGCTGAAGTATTTAAGTATAAAGTGTCATGATGCCTGCAACTTATTTTTAAATGTCAGCAAAAAAGCATGTGTGTGTGTGCATGAAGAGGGGAAGCGAATATGGAAAATGTTATCAGTTGGTGTGAATATAAGTGAAGGGGGATTCTGGGGGTCATTGTCCTATTTCTTCAACTCTTCTGTAGGTTTTACATTCTTCCAAATAAAAATGAGTGGCGGGCGGCGGGGGGGGGGTTGACCTATATTTTTAAAAACTAACAAGGATGTAACTCAACAGGTACATTTGGAAAACATTAAAAGAAGCAGTGTTAGAGTGACTTTAACTTGCCGTTGATGGTACCCAGCTTCGTTTTAGAAAATGGGCTTTCCAACTCAGTTTCTTTTTCCCCAAACCCCTAGAATTGCACAGTGGTTCTTAAAAGTGCTGGAGGGCGAGGAGGTGGGGCAAATCATCATCCAGATGATCGGAATTAGGAGAAAGGCTACACTCCCTATTGGAATTACCATCATCCTGATTCTTCTAATAGTTATCAAAACAGTTCATGTGGGACCAGTGAAAGTCGGAGCATTTTATCCGGCCCACCCCCTTCCCGTGCCCCCCCCATCCCTCTGCCGGAGGGGTGAGTACTTAGCTACCTGTCTCTAGATGCTGCATTACCTTTCCCACTGACCCTCTGCTGTTCTTCACACACAGTGGCCAACGGGTCCGCCTGGGAGGCCTCGAGGGGCCAGAGGTGTGGATAGTCGGCCTGGATGACTCCGGGTTCCTTCAGGTCCAAGAGGAGGACGGCGAGGTGGTGACCGTGCATCCCGACGGCAACTCCTTTGACATGCTGAGAAACCTGATCATCCCCAAACAGCAGTAGCCAGGCCTGGGGCCTGCCTGGGGCCACCGGGTAGTGAGAGGGCCGGCAGAGCCCACCCCAGTGAGCATTCCAGTTAATTCCTGCTGCCTTTCCTGGCCCGAGGATCTGGAAAACGGATTTAGAGTTGTAGGCAAACGTGGCCTCCCTCCAGTTAACCTGCTTAATTCCTTAATGTTGTTCTGTCTGTTGCCATTTTACTTGGCGTTCGCGAATGTTCTGGGGCGGAGGGATGCCAAGCGGAAGATTTAGCTCAGGTGAAGCACCACCACACGTGTGAAATCCTTCTCCCCTCTTGGGCTTGGATGTGTGTTTATTGCCCCCCCCCAAAATTTTTTTTTATTTCGAAAACAGCAACGGAATAATTCAGATGTTTCCCTGGTAGTGGAGACCTTCACTCCCAGACTATTAAAAAACAAATCAAAAATAGCTTCCAGGTCCAGGCCAGCGATGAGGTAGAGGTTTGGTAGCACTGTTTATACGCATCCAGGGAGGCGTTTTCCTCTAGGAACATACGTTGGCACTTGGTCGTTTTATTTTTTTTGTTAATAAGAGAAAAGATGGTAGGCTTCTGAGCGTTACCTCTGGGCCCGGTGGTTTGTGGTCCCGCAACAGGGCCTGAGTAGCTGCTAAGATGGGTGTCACTGGTGTGCTTGCAGTGACCTGGTAGAGGAAATTGATTACCTACTTCGACAGTAATTTTATGAGCTCTCTTTTTCATAAGTTTGAATGTACTGCAGACTCTGAAGGGATGGGCTCAAGTTCAAGATCCTTAATGCGTTGATGAGGCCTTGTGTGCGTGCGGGGGTTGATGATTGGGCCCTAACAGCTGGAGACAAGGACTCACTCATACCACACACCAGGGAGGATTTGGAACTTTTAAGCCCGTTGTAGGCTCACTTTGAAATCTGGAGCATTCCTGAAAGACCGTTTGGTGCACAGAATGTAGAAGTACGTGGCATTTTGTCTGTAAGTCATAATTTTTGCCCCCCTTTCCCTAAATTGCCAAGAAACAAAATGCAACTGATACCGAACACCATCATTTAAGAGGGAGGAGTGTGTGTGTGTGTGTGTGTGTGTGTGAGAGAGAGAGAGAGAGAGAGAGAGAGAAGCTTTTAAAAGAAGATATTCAAGATCTGATGCCCTAAAAGTCTCCGTGGAAGAACAAAAGAAAGGAAACCTTTTGATATGCATTTGCGATTTCCAGATGCACTCCATGCTTTTTCCATGTCACTCCTATCTCTGCTGAACTTGTGAATCACACACATTATTTTTCTGCCTTAAAAGGCCAATTTTTTGCCCACTTTTCTCTCTTCCTGCCAGTCCCAACTGAAATTAGTAGAAGGAAAACTTGATGGAGCCCTCAGCTTTGAACAGAATCCCCTTATTGTGCACGAGCACCAGCTCTACCCAGCTTTACCCAGTCAAGCTAATTCCAGAAACTTGTGGTTTTCAGTATAAAATCTGCCTACCTTTAGCCAGGCGCAGGCAGCGCCATAGGAAGGGGAAAAAAAAAAAAATAGCATGTTTAGTTAAGTACACCAACCCAATATGTGTTTTTTGGAAATGTAACTTTAAAAAAATTTCAGAAGTAATTTTTGCAAATAAGGCTTCCATTAGAATTATTTTTCTCAAAAAAAAAATTGTTCCCTCCTAAGTGTCCAAGTCTTCTTTTGGAACGAGTAACACGTTTCAATAAAAGCCCACAGCACCCCAAAATCAAATGGACTCACCCCTTGAGAGGGCATCTGCAAAATATCATCAAGAGGAAAGATGTCCAGGCTAATGTTGCAAGTTTCATTTCTCAAACTTTGTAATATAAGGCAAGTCATCTCTCAGAGCTGCCATTGTTACTGTTTGAATTTCTTTGGGGGGTTCTTTAATGAAAAACATGCTATGTTTTGTTTTCGGCTGAAGTCCCATTCTAGACAGTTCTGCTTTGGGGGAAAAATGTTATCATTTAATTTCCTTTCTGTAAATTAAAACTAATGATGTGTGGCCGTGTCAGGGCAGATGGAGATGTTCCGGGCATACCGCTTGTTCTCTGTGCTTTCAAGACTGTTTCTTACTTGTGCCGCCCGCAGTTGTCTTGAGGGGGACAAAATAGACTTGAAGCAGATGCTACGTTTTCTGTAAACACGATCTTGCCTCATATGAACCAAAGACTTTTGAAATTCTGCTTCATATAGAACAGCTGAATAAAGCATCTTCCTTAGAGCTATTCGTGTTAGGGAAATTATCTACTCGCTACACCACCCTCACGGATTGGGGGTCTTTGTGCACCTGGCCATCTCTGATCTCAAGGAGTTTTAAAGTCTTAACAGAAATGTTGCATTTTCTTCATAATCTTTAAAACATGGCAACTGAACTCAGGATTGGCATGTGCTTCCAGGGCACTGGATTTGCTCTCGAGTTTAGAGGTTGCGCCTTGAGCATCTATCTGGTTATGTTAAAAAAAAGAAAAAAAGGCAAGACGTCCTTCCTTCCTGGCTGGCCGCGGGTTTCAGGGGAAGCCATGGGAAAGCGCCCCCTGAATGTGCACAAGTTTTCCCTCAAACACATTTTCCAGAAGGCCTTCCCGTGGCCCCTGCCAAAGCAGTGCCCCTTGACCCTGGGCGAAGTCGAAGGATTTCGTGTCTGGTCCAAAATAGTAGGTGGGGTTCACTCTTGCAGACTTTGCCCGATGTGGGAGCAAGTGGGCCTTTGGGGGGGTGCAGGCCAAGGTGGGGGGAGCATGCGGCCTCCAGTCCCCGGGCCCCGCACATACACCCTTGGGGGTGGCCTATGTAGTTGCCCCTGCCCTCGAGCCTGGGAACCAGGAGAGAAGCCAGCCTCATCCAGGAGCTTCAGAATGCAGCAGGGAGACATTTTTGGCTTGCATTCTGGAAGATTTGCTTGCTCTTTACAGTCAGAACACGGAGAATCCTCACTCCTGGGTTACGACTATGCACATCTGAAATTTTAAAAAGTGTAAGCCTCCGCATTTGTACCTTTTCGAAAAATCGCCTCAGAAAAGTAATTACTTTAAACCAATGCCTATAAGAAGCAAGTCTACCAAAATAAACTTAAGATTTTCTGTACAGTTTGTGCTCATTGTTATTTTGACCACAGTTTTATTTTTTAAAAATAGGCAACTACTCTTGGTAACAGTATCTTTATTCATATTTAAACATTTTTACAAAATAAATAGTTTTACATAGTAAGGAATACGTATGTATTTCTAAGTATTGAGAAGTCGGGTGCTTTTTCTGTTGTTTTTGATTTGTTTTTGACAAATGTGTTATGTGTCATACAAAAGAAAAATTTTATTACTCCAGAGAATGAAAGTTAGCAAAACCCAAAGTAAAAAAACCCTTTAAACTGAGGTGAGAAATAAATTTAATATAACCATTTAATATAAATTGAAAAATAAATTTAATATAACAAACTTACTATAAGAACAGATTATGTTCTTGCAGAGTTGTTCTTACTCTTCTGTAAGAACTGCTTGACTTTTGTTTTGAGTTTTTCCCCCCAAGATTTTAACCTTATATATCATACTTAAGTTAGGAACAGCTTGAATAATGCCTCTTTGATAACCCAAGGGCTACAATTCACTAAGATTTTAAACTACTGTAGTTTTCTGGCATTTATTTGAAAATGTTCTTTTTATCCCATTTTATCTGTAGCAGCCCCCACAGTCTACCTTAACTGTCTTACAGTTACAACAAATCTACCTTAACTGTCTTACAGTTACAACAAAATTACAACTTCGGGTAGACTTTGTATAGGATTCATTGACTGTATAAACCTCTCCCGCCCTTAGGGTCCAAGGGGGAAGACTTGGTCATAGGACTTTAAACTGGACAAAGGGTTGGGGGGTGAGGGGTGCAAAATACCCAGCTCTTGCAGATTTCCTCAGAACAGCCTTCTTCATACCCTGTTCCCTTCTCTACAAAGGTATGAATGGAATGGCTTTTCTAGAAAGGGCTTCCACGAACATAAAGGAATTCCTTTCCCTGGGAGGCCCCTTGGAGGGCCCGGCCAGTCTTGAACTGGGTTTATTTCTCAAATCCTTTTGATCTGGCATTTTTGTCAACGTGTTAGGACCCACTACAATTTCCTTCCTTTCTTTCCTTTCTTTCTTTCTTTTTCTTCCTTCCTTTCTTTCTTTCTTTTTCTTTCTTTCTCTTGTGAAAGAGAGTCATATTTATTAAAATGCTTCCTCTTCCCTGCCAGAGCCTCACAGAAGTCAAGAAATGATGGCCCCAGCTTAAATGTGCAGACTTTTAAAGATGGAGGTAACAATATTAGGTTGCCATGGTAATTCCTGTTAACTTTGCACTGAGCTGCCAGCCGCCCAGAAGCCGGCTTGCATAGGAATCTTCCTTCATGTTCTAGGCTATGAAAACCCCGATGTTTGTTTAGACAAGGAAGTTTTCCCTAGTACACATTTCATTTTTCAAGTACATACTCATTGTTAAGACTGTTTACGTTATCATTTGCAAATCTATAATGGTCTTATTTTTTCACAGTAACCTTTGATCTTAAACTGCTGGAAAGCCTTCTTGGTTTGTATTTACTAATGAACACAGACCCAATGATTAATAACAAGGTAGACACAAACGCATTTTGTGGTACTTTATTGAAAAACGTCAGGTGATGTCGCCTGCTCATCAAACCCGCACCTTTCAGGAATCCTGGTTTAATGATGAGACTTATAAGCATAAAAAAATAATACCCCAGGCTTATTTTCTGTGTGCACAAAGAGCTGCTAACGAGGTATAGGTAAGTGCAGTATAGAGGTGTATGCGTTCGATTCTTAGGACTCAGTCCCTTTGCTGTACCACGCATGTTCCTAAATTTGCAAATGTCACCCCTACCATAAGGCTACTGATGCCCTGCTAAGAATGAGGCAGACCCTCAGTGTGACACTAGGTTGGCAAGCGATCACTTCACATTTTGCAAACAATCCTGTATAGGTGCGCCCTGATTCCAGAACAATGAATTGAAGACATTTGTGAACAATCTTTCCACTCAGAAAGGTGCAGAGTTTCCTAAAAGAAAACCATTTTTGAAACAGGGCAATGAGGGAGTGTTTAGAGTGTGGAGCAAATTGAAACACGGTGGTTATGCATCAGTCCATTTCAGAGCCATGGTAGGATTTTTAAATGGTGAAATCTTGAAGCAAAAATATAAAAGTAAGACAAAAATGAATGGAAGTTTATTTTTAAAACACTGCTGGTGCTTTATAAAAGGATTCCTGTTCACCTGTCACATACAGGACATGTTCATGGGGTTTTCTTGCTATGCAGAAAATGCAGGAAATGCTGAAGAAAATGTATACACCATTTTTATACCATCCCTCTAGCGAGTCTTCTTCCACGAGGGCACAGTCCATTGACAATTTTCCATATTGCACATGCAATTTAACTAACTTTATTAGCATTACTTGTAGCAAACACGAGCCTAGGGAATTACAGGTATGTGTGGGCCAGAGGGATGTTGCCTCCCAATCAAACCCGACAGGGGTAGCCAGTCGCCTTGGGCACCTCATCATCATCCACATGTCATTCTCAGACAATATCTATCTGGCTCTCTGTATTTCTGCATTTAATGCCTATCCCATATATTCGGAAGGTGCTATTCTTGGTGCCATCAGGAGTTCACAGGGGTTAGGAGGAAGTAAAAGCTCATGAATGTGCTTGTGAGGCACACCCATGTTCATTCACTCCCTTGGTCTGGGCTTGCGGATGTTTGTACTGAAAAAAGGCTTAAATTAAAACGACAACAGCTTTTAATGAGACTCGTGAATGACTTGTAAAGTCGTCAGAGTTGTTGTCGATGCGTGGGACTTCAATTATCACACCCTGCCTTAAGCCTCTAGGGCGCCCTGAATTCAGGAGGCCTCCCCCTTCCAGGTGGGCCGCGGCCCCCGGCGTGTCTGACTGTATCAGGCTGGGCTCTCCCCTCTACAGAGGCTCTCCCCGGGGTGGAAGCTCCTGCAGTCCCCCGGTGGGACCGCCACTGAGCATCGGGGACGAGGCGAGGGCGCGCGAGCCTGATGTCAAGGTGAGGAACCCAAGTCCGCCCCCAAGACGGGGTAGTTTGAGGTCACACGTGGGACGCAGGGGGCGCTCAGCTCTGCCCCTTCGGAACCCGGCTCCTGGAGAACAAAGGTCTGGAGGGCCTTTCTCTCCCCGCCGCGCCGCAGTCCCCTGCACCGGCGTTGGTGGGATCTACGTAAAAATCTAGAAGGCGGCCGCGGCGTTCTATTAAAATAGTCGTCTCTGTATAAATTAATTTAAACCGTGCATATACAGCTCGCCCCTCGTAACTCGGCTGCACTCTGGAGAACAGGAGCCCGAGGCCTGGCCTATGGCTTCTCCCTGCGGGCAGCCCTGCGCGAGGTCACCTGCCGTTGGTGATGATGACCGAGGCGCCCAGGTAGTGCGGCAGCGGCGCGCCGGGCGGCGAGGCGGCGGCGGGGCCGGGGGCCCGGGGCCGCAGCGCGCCGGCCGCCGCCTCGGGGGCGCCGG